GTGGGACCTGCAGGAGGTCTTCACATACTGAGCCCACTTGATTTCATTAGTTCCTAGGAGATGCAGATGGCCAGGGCTGGCACTAGATGTGTAGGGGAAGAGAGCAGCTGCCCTCTCTGTGAAGAAGTACCTAAACCAGTAGTTTTTGAGTTGAGGTTCTCTGGGCCAGCCTAAATATTAATTAACTGGCCAGTAACTTATTAGATATTTGTTGAACCCAAGCTATCTGGCACTGGTAGACACCAGAGCTTTAGCATTTAAAGGTGAGTGGACTGGTGAGAGGAGGATAGGCCTTGACCACAGGGTCTCCATTCTTCCCTCTCATCACGTTGCAGGAGGCCTGGCCAACAGGCTGCCAGCCTGGCTGGCTGCAGTGTCAGGAAGGCAAGGGCCTGTGTTCTGTGCTCAGGTCTTGAGTAATAAAAAGTGGCACATAGGAGCATGTGTTGGCCGAGGGCTTGTACAGCATCATCTAAATTGCTTTAAATTTATGTTTACTGGACTTTATCATTCTCCCCAGTGATATTCTAGAAAAAAAAACCCCAGGTATCAGCACTGACATAGGTAAAGACCATAAGCAGATGAAAACAGGAGAAAAAACATTTGGGAAGCCCTAACAGGACATTACCTGAACCATAGAATGTAACAAAGGAAAGAAAAATGTAAGTGATGGTGTTGATGAGGTGCATGAGCAAGCAAGACAGAGCTGTTCTCTATGGAAGTTCAGAATGTAGGGCATGGCTCTGTCTGGCAAAGGAATCCACCAGTTGACACAGCTTATCTAATTTCTGACTCCATGAAATTCCATCAGAATTATACAGTGCATTTAGTCTTGACTCTTTCCAGGACTCCCTGCTCACACTGCCAATAAAATCATCTTAGGAACTGCAGTCTTCCTGAGCTGATTTTGAGACATGCTGACCACACCAGCTACCCCACCACCTGCTTTCACTGGTAGATGCTCAGCATGCCCCAAAGCCAGAGAAGTTGTTCCCTCCAGAACACGCAGCAATGGGTGTGAGCACACACTGTCCTCAGTTCAGCCATGCAGCATGCCCAATGCAAAATACTTACACAGTCTTTTTCTCCAGGTTTTGCAAATTTCCTTTAATGTTGTTGTATGCAGTTGATCGGGTCTTTAGATCTGTTTCTATTTGAGTCAATTGCTAAAACAAAGTAGAAAAAGTGAGTCAGTGCAGTGCTTGAGGCCTTGTTCTCACCTCTGTCCCACTACCACTGCACTTTAACACAGGGACACAGCTGTCAGCCCCCTAAAACCACCGATTGTGGCCAAGAGGGAGCTGATGTCAGAGGTCCCTGTGGCAAAGCCCTCTGCAGAAAGTAGGATTCAGTCAACTGTTGCTGTTTGTGTGCTAGAACTGTACCTAAGGGGCAAGTTTATGGTTTCATTTGTTACCTACATTGAACAACACATTATGCCTTTCTGAATCAACTGACAGTGTAAATAATTTATCCAGCCTGCAAGGCATTTGACTTCATGTCAGAGCAACAATTTCACAAAAAAAAAAATCCAAAATGGAGAATAATATGGCAATATATGAAAAAAATTAGATATTACAATGAAGGGGATTAAAGTACAGAAAACATATCAGTGTACTCTAGTAAATCTTTAAAAGCACCATGTACTTATGGACTGGATAGGTTTTAATACATATATCATTATTACTGCAGTAGAAATTAAAATATCAACTGCTTCAGTACAAAGTGTGTGCTTCTGAGCTTGCTTCTGCACAAACCAAAGGCAAAGCTCCCACTGACTATCACGAGAGGCAGGACCACAACCTGCCGAAAGACATGCTTCCCCATGCTGACATCTTAAGATCTGGAGTACAATTTACCTTTGCTAATGCTTCTGATATATTCTTCAGTGGCTGCTTTATGGGATATTTGGCCATGTCCCACTCAAACCGTGTCAAGTAGCTAATTAGGTCAACTGCAAATGCAAAGAGAAAGCAGGTAACACACCAGAAGGCTGGTCAAAGTTTGGGTAGTAGTCCCCAGCTATAGCTTAGGAATAACTTTGATTAACTTCAGAGACAGGGGTGAACCAAAAGCCCACCTCTGAATACTTAGAGATTTGATCTAGATCGAATCCACACAGACCATGTGCCCAATCTAATCATCTTTCTAAAAATTCCCAAACTGATAAGTTGAACCAGAAATCTTTTCTGCATTATACCTAACAGTACAGAAAAAGTGTAAAATTAACCGTATCAGCAGGACACACCAATGTACAGCCATTCTTCTTCAGAGTGGAAATAGCTTTGTATAATCTTGATCTCGATTTCTGCAATATGCCTGAATTTAATCCCAGCAAGAGCTGCCAGAAAAACACTTTGTGCCCAGGACCAGCAGTAATACTCAGAGTTGTTGAGAGCGTGATCAAAGGTATTAAGAGTATAGCAGATGTCACTTCTCTGTGATTCAGTCAAGTGCTCACTAGAAATCAAACTAATTCAGGCATGATGAGGAATTCCTCATTGAATTTGCACAGAGAGGTCCCCATCTCACACAAAGCTATAGGATATTTATAAATACCCTATATGATATATCCTAAATGGATAAATCCAGTCACAGCATCCAACAAGAGAAATTCACAGCAAAGTTCTGTGTATGCTACCCCCCAAAACAAGGCACTTTCAGAGCACGGGGAGCCACAGCTTCTTCTCAGACTCAAGGGGAGATGACACATGCAACAGCCAGCTCCTAGAACAAGATCATGCTGTTCCACTGTTTGAAGACCAAGGCTCCTTGATGTTAGAAAACTTAAAAGCTTAGTACATTATGGTACCAAATAAGGAATTCTCCTCTAGCAGCTGAAAAAATCAAGCAGTTCTTTGCTTGAGTGCTGAGAGCCCTTTGGATGCTGAACACACCACTACATAGTATATTTGGGCAACTTTATAGAATGGGATAAAGTCATGCATCCTGTCACAATCAGAGGGGCTGGGACTGCTCCCCTGAAAGTTAGGGAGGCATGGGGAAGGCAGCAGTCTCAAGGCCTAGACAAAAAGGCCAGAGGCACTGTCACCTCAAGGGTGGGCTTCCTTCTAGACCAGGAGCATAAACATGGACAATATCTGGGAAATCGCTCTGAGGTGATGGGGAGCAAAGCAAGCTCAAGGTGCCAAATAAAAGGACATGCATGCTGGGTCCCTTCAGTGCTCTTTGCTGCCTTGTCCAGAGAGTGAATTCAGTCCCACAGTGAGGTTTGAGCACAATTTCTTATGAGATGGACTTCTAAGGTAAGGGGAAAACCAAGATGCATGAGAAAGAATATGAAAAATTGTGTAATTGCCATACTACCAGGCTGAGGGTACTACCTGGTCTTGGGTGATATCGAATACCCTTGGCAGGAGAACACTGTCCTTTCCAAGGGCTTCTCTCACCCCACAACAGAGTCAGTTTACCCTATTAGATTTCCAAAGCATGGAAAGTCTTATGTTAGGAGGAAAAAGGCTTCTTAGCAAGGGATAAACTGCCTGGGAGGCAGAGAGCACTGGCATGGCAGTGTTCTCCCCCTCTATCTAAAACCACAGCTGTGTCAACATCCCCCACATCCAATGGACAGGAGTCATGAGGCAAAGATCCAGCCTTTCCTGCTAATGTCTGATTGGGAATGAGCAAATTCTCCTGCACAGGGAGGGTGCAGAAAGAGGATAAAACTGCAGAAGGCAGGGAGAGCTGTGGCATAGCTCCTGCATGTGCAGTTCTCCGGCAGTATTTGCCACGGTCTCTGTGTGGAAGGCAGGAAGGCAAAAAATACCTCAGCAACAAAGTTTATACAACATTTTTAGCACAGGGTACATGACACAAGGATTTCACCCCACTGCCTCTCTTCCAAGCTTGCGTGCTTAGGCTTTGCTAAATTCAATGTGAATGAAACCTGCAAAGAGAATGGTATTACCAGGCTGTGCAGAGGAACAGCTCTTCATAAGCTCTTTAAAGTAAGACACTATTTATAGCTGATGAGATATAAAAATTCCCTGAAGAACTTCACATGCCCTTTCTATCCTACATTCCTTGAATCTCAGCAGAATCCAAATGTTGGGCAGTTAAGCACAACATGAGCCCAGTTCTACAAACTCACTCCTGAGTAGTGCTCTGGCACTGGTGCAGATTCGTTACGCACCCAGATCCTGGGGATGGCACAAACTGCTCTGAACACTCTAGCAGAACTGAGCTTGAAAGGCCAAGCAGTCACAGCATCCTGATGCTCCTGGAATGGCATCCCTCATTTATGGAACCTGTTGAGTCACTTCTAAAAGACTTCACATAGCTGCCCACCCAGGAGAGATGGTTCCTACCAGCTCACAGCTGCCCAAGAACCCCAAATCTCTCGTAACTCCAATTTACACACCCAGCTCTAAGAGGCAATGTTAAACGCTTGCCCTAGAAAACACTTAATTCTTCAAAATTGTTATGCTTCCCATTTCACTTTGTTTTGTGCTCACTATAAAAAATGGGGTTATTCCATCACTTATCACATTTTAAAATTAATCTGGGTTTAACATTAAATGGAAGAGAATTTGGTATGAATCTTTGAATAAAAGCTTTACTTAGATTTCACATTTTTTATTCTGTCATAAGCAAGAAAGGTTGCTTATGCTGTTATGATATATTAAAATTTTCTTTATTACACAAACACACATTTGCATCTATAAGAGAGAATTTTTTATGTGACTGCTTCCAACTGTTATCCACTGGAAAATTGTTTTTGTTTGGATGACCAAACCCAGACAGAGGAGAGAAATTAGTAACACATACAAGTAATTTCCACATCCTTCTAATACAACACATGCAGAGCTGATAGGAAGAAAATAGCGAAAAAAAAGAGGAAACAAAGGAAATTAGTGAAACGTCTTGTTTCTCAAGTCAGGAGGATATCGTGATCAAGCTACGAGGTTGTTACTTGATAAATCCATCGTAACCTGATCATTGTATCCCTACAACCAGACCAAGACTTGTGTCTAGCACTAATACACACAAATGCATGCATGTAACAACACCGCAATCAATCCTCAACATACTTTTGAGACATTTCATTTTATCCTTTAGTCCTGAAACACAGTAAGTGGGATTATTGTACTTCTCAAATGGCTTATAAAAACACCACATTGACTACTTAGAGATGAAGTAAGGGAGCATAAAGTAAGGTGTAGCCTCATACCTTACTGTATGCAGTAAGGTATAGTATACAGTGGGCTCTCACAGCCCTTTGGCATGTCAGAAGTGCTCCTGCTGTCACTGCCTGCTCTTCTCTACTGCTACACAACTGCTGCCAGGGCAGGACTCCATTGGAGAGGGCATTTCCTTCTCATGGGAGCAGCACCTGCATGTTCTGCTTGCCCCTGGCTCAACCTTGTGAGTGCAGCCCCAGCTCCATGTTTTGGATCTCTTTGTGATGTCAAAAATCCACCGTTAACACAATTTATCCTAACACTGGAGGAAGGAATGCAAATTACTAACAGATCACTGACAGACGTCACAGAGCCATACAGAATAAGATTTAGGTGCCCAAGGCAGGGCACAGAAATGTGCTAGGTCATTTTAGGAGTGAAGAAGGATACGTCCTGCTTTCATCTTCACTCCTCAGCTCTGGTGTCAGAAATTAGTTCAGTACTAGATGCTGAATATTATCCTGGAAGCAAAGCTGGTGCTGGATAAAGCTTCTGCTAACTCTGAGAAAAACAGAAGCAGCCTAGACTTGTTCTTAGAAAATGTTGCTGATGGTTGTCCTTTCTAAAGTCTGAGAGTTTCATTTCCACAAAGGCAGCACCAATGCATTAAACACCCCACATTCATAGCACCTACCTCCATTGGCCAGAAGGTTTTCCTGGACTTTATCTTTTGAGTCCTCCATAACTTCTCCTATGTACTGGGCTATTTTCTTTATTATGCTTAGGTGTAACAGAGAAACTTTATTAGTGAAGAAACAAAATTATTATAAAACAGTTATCACAATGATCTGATAAACACAGAGATGCCCAAACAAAACATTTCTGAAGCAAGGCAAGTTAACTTGTAACTGAAATGATGATAAACAAGCTATGGCATATTGCAGAGCTAAAAGCCTTATCTCTAAATCCATTCACTCTGAAAAAACATAGGTAATATCATTTCCCCAGTGGTCTAGACTTTCAGAAGATCAAGATGCATTCTTCTGTACACTCATTATACTAATACCAGAAACCAGAAGGCAAGAAAGTCATATTTAAAACCCCAACAGTGATGGAAAAAACAAGAGGCTGCATACAGACAACACTGACTGAAAATCCATTCCCTATGGAATGGATGCTGAAGAAACCCTTAAGGCTAGCTGAGGTAAGGTTCTCAGCAAAGTACTCAGGGGAAAAGGGCAGTGTTCTCTTGTTTGACATGGAGAATTTCCTTATTTCACTTCTTTATGGGACTCCTTCTCTCATCTTTTTAGAATGGTGGGCAAGACACTCCTTTAAGGTATGGGAGAACTAGGTTCAAATCCTTCTGCCCAATTCAGAGTAGTGATTTGAACAGAGGCCCTCCTGGAGAATATTGTCTCCATACATTTACTTATTTTTTGCTTAAAGAATAGATTCATCAAGTCCCTCTAGCAGTAGATCCCCCTCTGTCTAGCCCAAGTACATGTCTCCTGCAGATCAAGAGACTTTCTGGTTGTTCTAGCATCCTACTGCACTCAGAAATATTCATGGAATTTGGCCTTCAGTTCTCTAACTTTTCCATGTTGGCTATCTTGTGAAAAAAGAAACAGCTACAAAGTAACTGCCTGATCATGAAGTTGGCAGAGACATGAAGAGGACATAATCCTTGGCACGGTGACAGGGAGTGTAATGGCAGGCTTCTTATTCCTTTCTTTCCTTACGGGGGAGACTACTACAGCTGCAGGTGAGCTGGAGACTGAAAGGGCACTTACAGTGTTTGGACAATGTGTCTTGTGGCACATCCTTTGGTTTTCAAGAGCTCAGGAAAGAGACTTTGGGCCAGGTATATATACCAGAAAAGCATAAGAGAAAAGGATTTTCTTTTATGTGCTGCAAAGCAGTTACATCTATCTCATTTCCTGTGAAGAAATTACAGTCTGGGGAAAGGTTTTCCAGTCCTGTCACAGAGAGGAAAAATCTGAGATTGCTGTTGCTGCCAAGAATGTAGTAGTTAGAATTCATGCTGTTTGGTGTCATTCAGTCTGAAGAAAAGCAGATCTTACTGTGACTTTCAGTACATTAAAGGGGGCTTATGAGAAAGGTGGAGAGATGCTTTTTACCAGAGACTGTAGTGATGGGACAAAAGGCAACAGTTTTAAACTGAAACAGAGTCCCACACCTGGAAGCATTTAAGGCCAGGATGGATGGGGTTTTTACCTGGTTTAGTGGAAGGGGGGGGGGTGTTGAAATTAGAGGATCTTTAAAGATCTCTTCCAACCCAACTCATTCTTCTCACAACTCTGGACAGGTGCAGTTCAGAGTGAATGTAGGAGGATCTACACCACTGTACTCCAGTTCACATCCCTCTCTCAGAGCTGCTACAGTTTTTCACCATCTGGCTGCAGCCACTAAAGAGACTTGGTGCCAGCTAACAGTTGCTAGAGTACAATACATGTTGCCCACATTCAGCTGTGGGGGGACTGAGGGATCCAGACAGCAGTTCTCTGTCAACTGTGACCTTGCCAAGCACTTCTGCAAATTTCAGTTTGTAGACACAACTGGTTTTTGCCTCCCTCACAATGCTCAGGGAACCCAAAGGAACTTGGAACAAGACAGTAGTTGGTAAGACCAGTATAGCAGAAGACTGAAGATATTGTGAAGAAATCAGTCCACAGAGAAGTGTATAAACCAGGGGATTTTCCAAAGGGCCTGAGCTGCTTTTTTTACTGTTGAGTACAGCTAACAGCTAACCTGACAGGTGGGAGACAGTTAGCTCTGGCCTCTCACCATAGGTATAGACAGTTGGACAGGTGTGTGCTCTCATGCACCTGACAGTCCTATCTGCCCAGGTAAGGCATTTGCTTCTGCAACTGCTGGAATGTCATACCTTCCAGGAAAAAAAAAGTCCAACACTCTTGGTAAAATAATACTGAGCATGAAAGGGTGCTACCAACTGGGCCTCCAAACCACTTCAGGGACCAGAAACCCTGCAATCTGAGGCCACTGCTGAACGCTCTGCTGACCGAGGACCAGGGAGAACCCCCAGGTAAGAGTGACCCAGGGAACTGTCAGCGTGAGAGAGCTCCATGCTAGCACAGGGTGACATGGAAAAACACTCCTCCTCCCTGCGTAAATAAATAATAAAAGTATATGGAAACAATAGCTCCTGCAAACTCTTGCCCCTTCTCTGCTGTCCTGGCAGGAGGCAGCGCTGACAGGTTTGCACTGCCTAGTTTTACTGGCAGGCG